AAAGCCTGTAAAAAGTTATATCAGCCTGTTGCAGAAGTTGCAATCCGTACATCAAGCTAATATGGAGAAATTAAGTTCTTGTGGCAAAACCTTATGCTGGACAAAACATATGAATATGCGGGATTGTAGAGCAACGCGAGTTCTACGCAGTGTGACCCTGACAAAGATTTCATTTAATTACGACAAGCTCAACAATCTTTACGCACTGTTACTTAGAGCATAAAAAAGTAACGAGATTTGCAGGTAAAACCCCACAGCGTAGAGGTAATTAAGTTTTTGATTTGAAGGTTCTTTCATCCTGCTTTTTGTTTATAATGTAAATTGTTTTTCGGCTGAATTAACCAAAATAAAAAGTTCTCTTTTTTGTTGAGGTTTGTGAGTCGTAAAACGGAGAAAGACTGAATACAAAGTTAAACAGCCGTTTACAAAAGATTGAAACTCTTTATAAATATAAACCTGACAGACCCATACGAAATCATAAAGAAGATGCTCACTACTGTAACAGACAACCCTACAGGGTTACATTTTTCAGTATTGTGTTCTCAACAAAAAAAAGAACTTTTTATTTTGGTTAATTCAGACGAAAAACAATTTACATTATAAACAAAAACAGGATGAAAGAACCTTCAAATCAACACGAACTATTTCCAAAGATACCACCAACAAAAAAAAGAACAGTATTGTACAACATGCAGTTTCTCGCCGAGGTTCACGGAACGCAAAAGGAATCAAACTACATACGGTATCCGCTTAAATGCATTTCACTGTAAGCTACGGAATTATTGGAACCGCGTTGTGAAGTTATCAAAATACGGTAGCTTAAGAATAAAGCAGCATTTATGACATTTTGTACTGGATAATATGTAAACGCAATTGAACTTGTGGTTGGTACACCGGTTGTACCATTGTATATTAATGTTCAACTTGAACCTTGTGTCAATGAGGCACTGTTCGTATCTAACGTAAAAGTCTTGCTCCCACGAAACCTATGCTATAAGTTGCGCTGGAAATTTCTCGACTTTAGCTTCCTTCGCTTCACAGAAAATCAGTTTTTATTTATTCCTGTTGACTTTACCCGACCGGTGTTTCAAAAAAATGTGTAAACAATGTTACTCAAAAGCGAAAACTGAGTTTGCAATTGACAAATCGTCCCTGTCACGGCCGTAGACGAGTTACGACTCTGAAAGCAGATCGTTAATTAGTACGCTTGTGTAAGAAGGATCGTCAAAAAGCTAGCCGTGCCTATCAAAAAAATTGTTATATTCAATTTCGTACTTGAGATCAAATGAATAGAGATAAGCGGATTTGATATTCTCTCGACCGAAGGACTAGCCTCATACAAAATTAATGTCAGACTGTGACCATACATCTCAGACGACAAGATTAGCATCTACTCTGTAGTCATCATAAGTTTTTGAATCCTAGTTAAATATATTTCCCATAGAATGAAACTTGCAGCAGTTTCTTACAAAGTTACGATAAGTTAACATAAACTTACTTGTTATTGTAGGTATGGTGGCAGTGGTTGTAGTTGTCGTCGTAGTAGTTGTGGGCGTTATCGAGGTGGTGCTGGTTGTTGTTGTAGTTGTTGTAACTAAAAGTAATTGAATAAGAGTCATAGGTGCTTTTTCCAAAGAACCAGTACTTATTTACTTTTTGTAATATTTATTTATTCATGAGTACTAAGTAATATAAATAGCTCTCTTTCGTTAGTACGATAAGCTGAAATGAACGACATTGGGCTGACAAAACGCTTAGTGCTTAGAAAATAAGCTCTGAACTTGTTTCTTTCTTTCTTACTTCTGCATTAGAAAACGGGGCACCTTTTACACGATGAAAAGAATAACAAGAAATTGTACATCGGTACTTAAAATCAAATGAATATGGAGTTAAACCAAATTATTAAATTTGTGGCATCGGCATATTCATTTATTTTTATGCACAGATTTCCAATTTAGGCTAAAGAATTTTCTACAATATTATGTCGTGTCGTGTTGTTTATGATGCAGTTTTTCGCATATTATTCCTTTCCAGCATGTTAACAAAACTGTGCAGCCCGTGCATGTAGCATTCTTACTATGTTATTTTATCTCATAAACAGTATAGGTAAATAAAGAAACTAGATTGCAGATTCAAAGAAAATTGATTCAAATATTGAATAAACAATCAGAAAATGATAATAACACATCGACAGTGAAACTAATTCTATGTTAGAGAATAGTTCAATGCTTTTGAAAATAAGGTGTGGAGATTAATAACAACAATAATACGAAATTGGTATTAAATCTAAAAGTAAGCAAATATTGAATTAGATTTACAGTCTTGGAAAGAGGGAAGTAGAATAGACTAACAAAGAGGATAATTCCCTGCCAAACGGTATTAAGTAGTAAGGTACTTATCACAGGGTGATCCAAAAAAACCTACCCCCTATGTATTTATTGACTTTCTTGTGTACAAATATAATTGGACTTTTTATCATTAGTTTATTCAAATAGAACAAAGATTTCTGGACAAAATAAGACGTCTCCGAGTTCTCTAAGAACTTTTTTCATGAAACAGCATTGAATTTACGGAAGGTCCCAAGAGCATATTTTTCTTGTTTGCCCATTAATTGTCCCGATTTTGGTGGTATGGGACCTTCCGTAAATTGAATGCTGCTTCATGAGAAAAGCGCTTCAAGAGACGTCTCATTTTGTCCAGAAATCGTTGCTCTATTCGAATAAACTAATGATAAAAAGTTCAATTATGTTTGTACACAAGAAAGTCAATAAATACACAGGAGGTAAGTTTTTTTGGATCACCCTGTAAGTGGTAGTTAAGATTCTTCTGCGTATATATGTAAGGAAACTTAGCGCGGATTAGAGTATTTCTTGCTAATATTTACTCTCAGACTTGTATTGAATTTCGAATGAATTGTGTTAGATGCAGAATTGAATTCTTTGTCGATTGGTACTATTTTCGATGGGGGTCATCGAGTAAAAACTCGAAGTTTGGGTCTGAAACACTACGCTTTTGGTCTTTTCTACCAGTTATCCGCCGCGCACAATGCTTTGTGCTGTAGTCGTCCTTTTGAGTGCATTGTATTACAGTCTGACAAGAATAATTTATATGGCTTTATCATACAAGAATAAAATACCTACAATCATAACTTGGGTCATTTTGGAAAATTCACGTCACGAAAAATCATGTACATGCATACGGAGTATATTGAGATATGATGCAAAGTGTAGTCAAATATTACAATATGTGTAGCGTTATTAAAAGCAGTTGATCAGTTGGCATGCAAGTGGAAAGCAATAATGCGCAAAAGGATAAAGCATAAGAAGATGAACATTAGAAGCGTGTGCATGGAAAGGAAAATCGATAGTTAATATTAAATACTATAAAAAGATAACTTGTTGTTACCACACGTTGAAGGATGAAACAGGCAATGTTCAAATGTTTCTTACTCACTAACTATGCTTAAAGCTGTAGAACATAAAGAGCCAACTCAACCTCTAGGAGACCATCATACAAAAAGCAGCGTTGAGAATGGGCATCATTGAACCGACAGTAAGTACTGTTACTCGTTTTGATGATGGCGGCGAAGTGACTATCAGTATTATTGAAACTAGCAGAAAGACGGGATCTAAACATAACACAGGGCGAAATTATTTTAGAGGACAATTGGCAAGAGTTACTCATGTTGGCCAATATACAAAGGATCCGGCAATTCTGTGATAAGAGAATGGTTAGTCCCGACGCTGACAACGCCGAATGCTGCTGTAGGCTGGAATCTTGTTACCTCTGTTGTTCGCGATGCTTGACATATATTGTGTGTTCTAAAGTTCAAAAGTATACGCAAAAGGAAATAGATAAAAGGATCTCTTACTCTAAGCGACAACATTGATTGCTGCATCGGTGACCGGAAACCGATCGTCAACTATGTATTGTGCTGGATAATCCAGAGGTTCAACTGGACCAAGACTTTCACCGCACAGAGCTGCACGATCAATGACGAATGCTGGTATGAAGTTTAGGTATTGCCCTATAACTTTCCTGTACAATGTCAAAGATTTAATAAATTAGATTGAACTATCAAGTACATTTCAGAAACGGATAGACTTTACCGGTAGTAAAAGATAGTCTGTGAAAAAATGAAATGATAAGATAGTAACTTTCGTTGAGAAGACGATCTGATTTTTTAAGAAACTATTGTTCTAGCAGAGAAGACTTCAGTTTTAAATAAACTCACCTTGGTGGGATGTCTACACTTGTACTCTCACGTATAGATTTTGGACAGGCACTACAGTAGCACTTGGATTTGATCGGAAAAGCTTGTATCGGTTGAATAAATCGAAAGACAATTTCATTCAAAGTGTTTTCAATGTCGTATTGATCATTTTTAATTTTCACTTTAAGAAGATTGTTTTGTGTAAGCCAATAGAGACGAGCAGTAGTCCATCCATCACTTTCGACATGTTGGAACTTACGACGAAGAAGAATAAAAGCTTCAAGGGTATCGGTTTCGAAAAGATCACGAAAGTGGTCAGTATCAGCTTTGTAGACATGATGTAGAACGAATAGACCTGTGTCGAGTGGGCAGGTGTGAAATACGGAGAAGCATTCACTGACATATATTGCATCTTTTATTCCATATCGTGACCATGTGAGGTTGAGATTGCCAATTTTTGTCGTAACATCGTCTCTTGCGAGTCCAAAGTTTTGTTTGTCGATTGAATTTGGTGATGAAAACTTGACTGTTTTCTGTCGGGATGTTTTTGGCTTCGATATAGATCGGCTGCTGTCCGATACAAAATGTGGACGCTTTGGAGAAAACGGTCGAGATAAGCTAGTACTATTAATAAAAAAGACAGAGTCGTGAGCGTATCTTGAATTTGGTACATGTCGTCGAGCACTTCAGCGTTCAGCTCGTTGCTTGTTATTATCCTTCAGATCACTGGTACTCGCAGAAGTTAATAATGTTGATAAAATATTTTCACACGAATCTGAAGGTATAACTGGCAATAGATTGAGACTGGTTGATGAAGAAGACGATGAAATAACTTTCGAATTACAAACACTCTGATCTTTTTTCACCAGCTTATTCGATGACATTACGGAAAATCCAGACGAGGTGTCTGTAATAGAATTAAGAGAATTACTTGATGCGTCTGACTGAACATCACTACAAGGTATTAAACATTGACATTAAACTTTTCATCATGAATAACAAAATTTTCAAAGACTAGCTGTTAAAACACTCAAATAACTTCCGAGACAATAACAAGTTCTTTTTCGTGTGTGCTATGTATAACAACACTTCGGAGTATATTTTGTATCAATTTATTTATCAATTAGATTTCGAATGAAAGATTCTTTATTCATCTATATAACTGTAGGCGTGTATGAGAATATTACGGAATCTGTTTTTCTTTAATTCTTTGTCGATTTACTTGGAGATGAAAGATTCTTTATTCATCTCCATAAGCTGTAAGTATTTGTATTACAATTCTTTAAGTTTTTTTTATATATTCTTGTGCTACGTGATACGTACTTGAGATCAGTTGGTATACTTAGAGAAGAGCGAGTTGTTTTTGCCGGAATTGAATTATCATTTAATTTTCCTTTACTAAAGAATACGCATATTATGGAAAGTATGTTGAAATTTTTAAGAAAATAATTTACGATAATTTACATGCGGTTGTTTGATTACCACTATCACCAAAATAATATCCACTTCTATCAAGTTTTGTTTTCGGCTCACGACGTCGCCGTGTTTCCTTCACGTTTAAATCAATCAGTTTCCCACGTGTCTTTTTTCGATCGGCGAAGACTGAGTTACACCGAACTGGCCTCCTTTGAAACGTGGAAGTATATGTTTGTACCTTTTTATTAAAACGTCAGTAGGTCGAAGATTAGTATTGTGTTCAAGAACGGATGACTTGACAGTCCGAAAATATGTCTCAACTGAAGCATTTGAAACCCGTCCACGTCCCAACTCCCAGTTGGTTAACATACCTTTCCCATCTTTAGTATATCTAAATGAAAAACATAGTAATCCTTATCAATACACGAAAAGAAACTTGCCTTTCAAGGAAATCGGTCATTATCAAGACCAGAGAGGAAGATAAGCGAACCATTTGTGTAGCAAGTGAACGATTTTCGGTGAATAAAGAGAGTTGCATGGTTATATTTCCAACTTTGTAATAGATGGTTTTCTTTTTGGCTTTTGTTTTATGAATAGTGAAGCATATACAGCAATACTAATATTTACCGTCAAATATGCCTTATTGAGTCTTGTTAATGCCATCTTGTTTTCCAGTTTTTGAAATTTAGTAACAAACAATAATCATCTGTTAATGCTGACTTTGCATTTTGTTCTGTCTGTAGAGAACACAGAATTGAATGGAGACAAAGATTTGGGCCACGTAGATGTTGAGCGAAAGACTATGATCCTGACAATAATCATTTTTTGTCTTAACTGTTTTAATTCGATCCTTTATATAAAATTAAATCCAAATCTTTAGACGCTCACAGACGTTTTCTCCGTCAGTCATAGAATTTCTAAAAAAAAACAAAATGTATGCAATCTACATATAAATGTTTGCTGGCGTTTGTCAGTTTCCTAAGCACACATTTGCATATACTTTTTATCATTAAGCCATATGCATATCAACATTTCTCCTTTCTATCAGTAAAATATATTACAGATGTATCAAATTATATTTTTCTTCGTTCTTATTGGAATAAGAAAAAACACTAGATTTAGAGTCAAAATGTAAAGTAAGGAAACAGCAAAACTTAGATCATAATTCATCTGTAAACGATGAAGTTCACTGTATTTGTTTACCTCTCTTTTTTCGTCTTTTTCTTTTCTTAGTTGCAGAAATGTTTTACAGAATCTCAAATAGTCAAAAAATAGAAATTATCAACTGTATTTGTATACGTCATCTAACTTGTACTGACAAAAGTCTCTACTTAAGCCTTCCATAGTCCACTTACAGTACTAGAATACCATAAAACACTTATACATACCGCTTTTGCAACATAAAAGAAAAATTACCAATAGAATAGCGCTTCTTTAAAATGTATAAAGTCTTTTTTAATAACCGACAAAAACTAGAAGTTACACATATTTGCGAATAGTCGTACATCAAATACTTAGTCATTTACATAAGCACATAAAAGAGCAGTACACAAAGAAGTAACGCCATTACAGTTGCGCTCAAATCACTGAGTCTTTTCCGCGAACGTCTGACAAATCCTTGCAATTCATCTCTATGGAATGATGCTGGTAAAACGAAAATAACACGTTCCCATCATTGACAAAAAACTAACAAGATATAATGCCAGATACAGATATTTTTGCCACTGAAATTTTATACAAGCAAATGCGTACGGAAGAACGAGTCGTAGAAATTCTAGCAGAATGATGATTACTGAACTTATGACAAACGGTTTATAGAATAGAATTGGTTCTTGCAAAACAGAATAGTAACTAATATTTTTTTAAGAGAGGATAATGATTTTCGATGTGCCAAACCAATAAAGAAAACAATGGTTGTTAAAAAATAAATGATGAATGGTACAACTAGATGAATGATATTTGTTAGTGTTTCATAGTGCTGCAGCCCGTTGAGCTCAAATTTGGTAACACACCCTAAATGATGATAAATAAGGCATTCTTACAATCGTTTTCATTACGTATCTTTTGCGTAATGAGTAAGGTGAAAATAGTCAAAAGCACACTGTAAAAATAAAGTGTGCCCGTAGATGTATAAAAGTTCTAAGTGTGCAAATGCGAATCAAACTGGTGTGTTTTTTTGTGTGTGAAAGTCTCTCTACATTGGCAGGTGTGTACATTTTGCTAGTGTGTTTCTGGCACATCACATCGTGCATTCTAGATGTGCAAATGCGAATCAAAGTGAAGTGCAAGTTAAGTGTGTTTTGGGCACACTTTATTTTTTACAGTGCATACAAGGCACAAACGTTTTCTGTTTCTACGTAGTAAGGCTTTAGTAGAATTATCCGTTTAAGACTTGAAAGTCATATAAGGTCCATATTAAGCGTACGGCGAAAGTGTAGTAAATCTACACTATAAGAACTTCCAGTTACTCTTAGTGCATTACCGTAATGCACTTGTAAGAGTAATTGGAAGTCAGCTGTAGTATGATACTACAGCTGAGTAATCATCATCTTAGTGTAAGCTTCCACTGTTGTCCATTTACGCCATGACTAGTTGATTATGTATTGAATAAGCTCCTGTTCATAGGAAATTTTAGTGTGCTTTTTATCAAATACTGTAAAATAATTTATAGATCATTTCGTGGTTTTGAAAGTAGCCAAGAACTTACATGCTTACACTAATAAATAATTCTGCTAAAGTTTTTAGCCTTTTAAAAGAAATACTTAGTTGACTTCTAGAAACATTAAAACTGAGTGCCTCTTAAAGTAAAAATCCAGTACTGTAAAAGCCAAATGGTTCTGCATTAACCCACTAATACTGCACTGAAGTTTTGAGTTCTGATTTACTTGATCGTTTCAGGTCAAAACAATAGATTGTTAATTATTGTAAACCAGCATTACTCAATGTTTCCAAACATAAGATCATAAGCAAAAAAATTCGTCGGAAGCCGTGAAATCATTAATAAAAGTTTAGAGAAAGTTTGATGCACTGTGAACCTATGGGTTTTTCTTTTATTCGCATTGACCCAACATAAAATACAGTAGCGAAATTGTTATCGATTTGATTTGTTGTTTTCTTTGACGAGAGCTTCTGTCTTGCTCCGAAATTTTTGAGGTCGCTTATTGTTTTCAAAATCTACATATCACCGGAAAAAAAAATAAAGTTGGTTTTGAGTTGCTGAAAAGTGTTTTTTCGTGTTCAGCATCCTCGATTTTGGCGAGGGGTACTTCCAAAACTTTAGGAAAAACTTTCAAACTAATATTACTTTTCCATTAGAATTTTTCTGCGCCATTTTGTTTCAAAATTTTTCCTAAACTTTTGGATAAACCGCTTGCCAAAAATAGAAAATCTTCGAGGTTATCGAGTGTGCTGAACACGAAAAACACTTTTCGGCAACTCAAAACCAACTTTATTTTTTTTATTCCGGTGATATGATCTTTACACGGTGAAACCAACGTAAAAATATCATCAATTCGATTTTTTAGTTTCTAAGTTCGCCTTGCTCTTTTGTGAACAAAAAATATCGCAAAATTTTCGTTAAATAGATCCGCTTATTCACTATCAGAAAATGCCTTTTTATTGTCTAATGAAACACTAGCTGGTAATTGGGTGCCGCCATCCTCAGCCCAATTTACTATTTAAGACGACGTGAACTCCCTAACTAATTTGCCAAAATGTTTTTGTTTACATCGTTTCAACTCAGTCGTAGCTTTATTTCGTAGAGTGCGTAAACAGGAAATATTAACGAAAGTCGGATGTCACTTGGCTTCATTAAACTGTATGTCATGCTGCCGTAATCTGTAGTCATGTTTAGTTTTAGAGTAAAAGAGTGTATGTTTTGTAATTTGTACTCCAAAACTTTATTGGTACAAAATTATTTATGTTGTTGTTTATATGCCGTTGAAGATTCATCCAGGCAAGATTTACGTCGTCAGTATATGTGAAATTTAAACATGAAAGAGAGCGATGTTTTAAGACCTTCCAATTACAATTCCTGAAATCTCTCACATACTAAATGGTTATTTCCTCAACACATATGGATGAAAACTTAAACAGCGCATTGCCATGGTAAGAGTTACCCATGGCATCGAATATACTTGTGACATTTGTCTTAAAGCATTTTGCGGACAAGATCATTGTCGTCATCACAAGTACCAGATGGAGGTAAAATTTGAGAGTATATCGAAGAAGTCAGAAGTTGTCTTTTTAGATAGATACGCTCGAAGGAGAAATTATTTAAAGGTCTTGATTTGTAGTAAAGGATTTTAACAACAACAAACTCTGTCTATTCACAAAACAGCCCACGAAGAATCAAATTCAAGATGGAAAAAAAAGCTAGCAGCTGTAATCGCCATTTGAATTGTTCCTTTTGTGAACATTGCGCTGTTTTTCTATTGTTTCTTTATTTCTTTTATTTACAAAAATATAATAGACAGGAAAAAGAATCATCACGTGCTCAATAACGTTTCTCCAGATGAATCCAGACTTCTTCTGGTGCAATGACCGCAGCTTCATTAATGTTAAACTTGCTTTCCAGTTGATCGCCCTTAACTATGGTGTAGTGTTTCAGCAGTCGCGTTAGTAGAATTTTCATTTCCAACAGCGCAAAGCGGATACCCACACAGTTGCGTGGACCATTACCGAATGGCATCCAAGCTAACGGGTGTCGTTTGGTCAAGTGTCGTTCAGGATAAAATATATTTGGATCTTCAGGTCCCCACAATTCGGGATCATAATGAATCGTATAGAGGTCTGGTTGTACTACTGCACCTAAATACAAAAATCGCTTGTAGTTGCAATCAGACTCGAAAACAAGCACTTTTAACAAAAACTGTCTTAACCATCTATTGCAGGAACGAAAAGAATATATATTCATACGTAACCCAGTGTCCTCCACAAGATAGTGGGCTCAGGATGAACCGTGCAGCGAAGTAGAAGAAACTTTGGCCAAAATAAGAAAGCAAATTGTGTGAACCCGTTACGAGAAAATAGCCACAACGGTTTTTTTTCAGAACCAGGACTTATTTTACAAAAGTGGTTGCGCCTGTAGACATTTTAGCACTCTTCGTTTTAAAAATAACAAAACTACCACTTCGTTAATGATCAAACAGTACCTTCAGTAACTTTGATGCCGCAAACATCCGTGTTGTGCATACATCGACGATTAATTACCGTGCTAGCGATCGGATACATTCGTAATACTTCTTTGACAAATATTTCCATGAAAGGCATGTTCTGAACCAAATCATAGTCAGGATTTCGAATAGTCTCTTCAGCACCACTGTCTTGAAAATGTTGGTCGATCTCGTTCTGAAGTTTTTGTTGAACATCTGAATGATTTGCCAGGACGAAGGTGGCATAAGCCAAGGCTGTAGATGTTGTTTCATAGCCAGCTAGCATAAAAAGCATGACATTGCTGATAACTTCCTCATACGTCAATTTTTTCGGTACAGATTGATCACGGTCAATCGTATTGGTGTCGTTATCAGGTTTATCCTATAGATGGTGGAAAAATGTGAGTATATTGAGAAACATGTAAGTGTATCTCATTCATGATTACCTCTATGTTTTCTCGACTAGCAGCTTCAAGCATCAAATTCATCAAATCGACTCTTTGTTTGGCCGAGTCTGATCGCATTTGAATGATGTCTTGTACACGATGTCTCAACCAGAAACCTGGTGTTTCTTGAAAATTTAGGATTGATGATGGAAATATTTTGCTCAAATTTCGGGCAACAATGTTTTGAAGCAGGAGCAAATTACCGAAAATTACACCTAATGAAGGAATTAACGTTCCTAGTTTCATCAACGGTAGTTTTCGGACATCACTTGCAAATACTTGGCCGCATTTTTTTAGATAGATATTGTCTTCGTTATTTTGCATATCGGTATCGACTCCAAAACCACATCGACAAATGACATCCATTGTCATTCTTTTATATAAGGCATAAATATTGAATTCTTCCCGTGTTTCACTGTAGTTAGGTAATTTTTTCATTAATTCATTAATACAATCATTAATAAGCGATGACATTTGTTTCAATTTCAATGCTGAGAATGTTGGATTAATTACATGTCGTTGCCTTCGCCATTGTGAACCTTCTGCACCAAACAAATGTGCTCGTTTTCCATTAGCGAGTTTTGTAAATACTGTCATTTTTCGATTGGAAAAATTTGAAAATTGTTTGATAAATACTTCTTGGAGAAATTCAACGTCAGACACGATAAATAGCGGCGTCGTTCCCTCAAAGAGACCATAAATTCTGCCATATTTTTTTGTCCACTCAGCTAATTGTCGCGAATATGATTTGACATGCCATAATGTATTCAAATTGCCCCAGAAAAATGAGGGTGTTGGACCAGAAATATTACGTGATTTAAAATAATCATATTGTTTAAACTGGATAAAAATGTACGTTACAATAAGAATAAGAATAACTGAAAATAAGATAAGTGTAAGCATTGTTCAGGACAAAATATAGTATCCTATCAATGAAAAAAATGATGCTATTTGTACGATTGTTCTGTTGACACACGTTAAGCAAAATGTATGCAAGAACGAACGAAAGGTCACTAAAGACGTACTGCGTACGTTCTTTTCTAAATAACAGAACAAGTGAAAAATATTTTTTATCTCGTGAGTGATATTAACAAGGAAGAGAATTACTTTTTTTACGTAAATTTACTTTTGCTGGACAAAAAGATAGTAATGAGTCAAAAAGTAAGCAGAAAAAGACAAGTTATATTTTTTCCTTACATTCGACAAAATGTCATCTCTCGTAATGTAATACAAATTCAATAACTCCCCATAGAAACTATTAAAAATTGTTTTCCCAAAGCCACAATATCAGTTTTACATAGAGAATCCGAAAAAAATATTCTCAGATATTCTTAATTTTTGTCATTTCCGTGTGCTGCTCGAACAGATGATAAAACCTTTCTTAAAAAATGCATATTGCGTCCCATGTAGATGTCTAAGCGTCAATCAGTCTGGATTAGTGTGTTGAGCTATCAGGACAAAATGATTTATATCGGTCGTTTTTTAGATATATGTAGTATTGACGAGTATAAAAACCAATTATATATCCTTAGAAATGAATGAAAATAATGGTATCATAACAAAATAGAAAATATTTTAAAACCAATTAACCGGGTAAGAGAAATGAGAATTATTTAGTGTTAGATATACGGATTACAGTTGAAATAGTTCACAAGAAAAAATATTGACATTAAAATATTTTATTACATTTTTATCTGTTCTTGTTGTTTTACGTGAAAACTGATACTTTTTTCTGATGAAAGAGTAGGCATGTCTCCGTTGTTAATTTTGATAGTACGAGCAGAAACTTTATTTGCAATGGTTCGTTTATTCGAAAATATAAATCACAAATATCTGGGTCATTCCACATAACGGTCACTTTTAAGTCGAAGTCAGAGTTTCAAATGTGACAAAATAAGCGATGTCAGATTGAAGATCATAGTTGATTACATATGAACGTACATTTTAATGTTTAGTTGATCTGACATTGATGATAGAATGTAAAGCTTTTTTGTTTTTATAGATGACTTTCAGCAGGAAAGTTCCGCCAAACATATATCGCCAATAATTTTCTGTTTTAGCGGCCATTTAATTATTTGTTAAATATCGAAGTCTCTAACGATAAACAAATGAACACTGATCATTTTGATTCAAATCTCAACGTGTTTGATTCTAAACTCTTTGACTTGGAAGTGTTTCTAAATTTGATTATTCGACAGCGTGTTTCCATAGCGAAAAATAGATTAAAGTTTATTTTGAAGGGGATTAATAGTACTATTCTAATTCTAATTCTGTGGTGTAAATTCAGTATTCTTGCCTCCATGTAATCTGAATGGCAAGAATGATGATTATGATAAGTTCATAGAAATAAAAAGATATCTTTCTTATACTGTAGCTGGTGCCCGTATTCCGTTTATCTTGTAGGACGCTGATTGCGGCAGGCAACTAGCTAGCCAGTAAGTTGTTTTCAGATGAGTTAATGGTTGTATCCATGGTATTAATGTTGTTTACTTGAAAAAAGGACCATTAGTTTTGATTTATTTCTTTAGATCTCTGTTCGAGATGATGTCCGTATTTGTTCGTGTTTGCGGTTTCTTCACAAATGTAAATTTCAATAATTAATAACAAACATAAAATAATAAAGTACTTCAAACCTCGTCTGCTTCTTCATAGCTCAAAGATATATTCCCCCGGAAAAAAATAGTTTCAATCGGTATTTCTCATGTATTGTCATCATAACAAAATAGTTTTTAAAAACCAATGAGATATTCTGAAAGCCCGTGGAGTTTTCTGTAACCCTGTGTATTTATATTTTGGTTTTCGGTTACATATCATGGAAAAAAATCGGATACAGCACAAGCACTCTCAACCCGAGATTCCCCGACACAAAATTGTTTTTGTGCACTCAAAGTTAGTTTTTTAATTTTTTCACCATCATAAAACTATATTTAAAAAAAAGCAATTACGTATTCTGATAGAGCTTCAAATTCTCTATCATCCTGTCTATTTATTTATTTTCTTGCATTTATATGTAAAAAAAATTTGAATAAAGTAAAAAGATGTCGACTTTACAAAGACAAAAAATCGATATTTTTTTTACTGTTTTTTTGAATTTTTTCGAAATTTTTATCTTTAAACAAATAAATTATAAAAGAAGAAACCATACCATTGAATGGCTCATGGAGTTATCTATCATTCTATGTAAAGAGGAGATGTGTTTCCGTAACAAGTTTGTACAACTTCGTTTATTAGTGTAAAAAAAATTCATTTTTGTTCTTCCTAAAATGGACATGTGACCTATATCTTTAATGCTTTTTTTCGTTCTTCTCATCCTAAAAGAGATTTTTTTCACAGTAGTACGTCCGCTTAGATGATTTTAGTTATTATCACGCGGATAAAGAACATTTTTATTAATTCTTTATTTCAAACAGCACGATTTATTGACAATGAGCAGTCATTTATCTGTAGGAGATCGATGGCGAATTATTTCGTTACGTTTCGATCAAAATATGATTCCAAGTGGAATAGCTTCTTTTATGAACTGCACAATCCGAACTGTGTTTAACATTCTACGATTATATCATGAAACAAATAATGTTACTGAACTAGAAGGACGTGGTCGTAATCTATTAAACCATAGAGCATGAACTCAGACAATTCAATAACACATAGAATGATAGATAACTCCATGAGCCATTCAACTGTATGATTTCTTGTTTTATAATTTATTTGTTTAAAGATAAAAATTTCGAAAAAATTCAAAAAAACAGTAAAAAAAATATCGATTTTTTGTCTTTGTAAAGTCGACATCTTTTTACTTTGTTCAAATTTTTTTTTACATATAAATGCAAGAAAATAAATAAATAGACAGGATGATAGAGAATTTGCTCTATCAGAATACGTAATTGCTTTTTTTAAATATAGTTTTATGATGGTGAAAAAATTAAAAAACTAACTTTGAGTGCACAAAAAAATTTTTGTGTCGGGGAATCTCGGGTTGAGGGTGCTTGTGCTGTGTCCGATTTTTTTCCATGATAGGTAACCGAAAACCAAAATGTAAATACACAGGGTTACAGAAAACTCCACGGGCTTTCAGAATATCTCATTGGTTTTTAAAAACTATTTTGTTATGGTGACAATACATGAGAAATACCGACTGAAACTATTTTTTCCCGGGGAGATATATATTTTTAAACTACAAATAATATGAAAAAGCATTTGCGAGATTATTCGTAAGATTATCAGAACTGAATTCAACAACATACTTCAGCGGGTAAAATAAGCATGCAATAGACCACCAAACAGTGCTCTCTGTGATAATTAAAAATAAGTGCGCGTGAAACGTGCGAACAGCGCGAGACATGTAAAATTATCGATTAGCTGATTCTTTTAAGAACGATTCATTTTCAAGCTTATAATTCGCATAAATCATCTTCTCGCTTGATTACAGTACCCATATATCGACTTGGCTGAGCAGAATAGGACTATAAAACGTTAGCGGATTGTCTATAGGCAGTCCGCTAACGTGTTATAGTCCTGTTATACGGCGGCTAAAGACAAGTAGAACAACTTCAAAAACCCATTAGGTCTATTTTCAACGGAATCAGAAAATAGAAACATTTACTGTCCCAGAAATAAAAGGGCGGAGAAATTAGTGGAGGCTTAATAAAAGACACTTAGACACTGCAACATTCACTATAGCGTACGCCCAACAAAGACAACAGACTAGATGGCACTATGGCTAGAGGCATATCAGAAGTATCCACCACAAAATAAGTATACTCCAAGTAATAACAAACTTTATCAACAACATCACCTACAGAGTTCCCGTCAGCAACAACCAAATAGTACTAAAACTCGACAGATGAGAAATAATCTGACGAGACAGAATAACATAAGAGAACGAGGTCAGCCAGCAGATAATTTTGGGGAAAAAGACCAATTTCGTTCGATAGTATTTCGTACCGTCTACAAACAAGCACAGTCATATAATCCGCAATTTGGATATAAACAAAAAACATTGTTCCCTTGGCTGAAAATCTAGGGTCATAAAAACGAAATGTCCGTCCGACCGAGCGTCCGTCCACCGTAGACTGGTGACACCTACATTCACGATCAAAAGGTTATCGAAAAGTTGTTAAATTAAAAGTAGCATCATCAAAGATATGTTGTAACTGGAATGTTTTGAAAAATCACAATTTAGCTAAAACAGCATCGTGTAAAGAAAAACTTCAAAACTGTCCTCAAGAAAAAATAGTATTTAATTATACAGCAGCATATATAAATGTCTTAAGTAAATATAATGTATCTGATTACTTATCTGCTGATTATTTACCTTCACCATCAGCATTTATTAATAATTATAATCATATTATTATGATTATTTCCTTTATTATTCTCGTTGCTATGGTATTTTTTATATGTTTGGTTTGTTTTTATTATAATTGTGTCGATCGTCAACATTCATTAGTACGCGATACAAAATTACGTGTATCGCCGTCACTAAATAGTGGAGTAATCACTTTCGTTTTAAAAATCAATATTATTCCAGCGACGATTATTGTTATCAAAATGGCTAGTCGTACAGGGTGTAGGTTGTTTTGTATAGTTACGTATTGGTTTGCTTGTTTTTCGTTATTCTAGTTTCTGTTTGTACAGTGTTTCAAATCACTCAGCCACGATATGAAACTAGTTTACAGAGACTTTGGCTAAAACAAACACAGACAGCAGCGATTCATTAACAAAATTTTGCACAGAGAATGATCGTTATAGAACAAAACATAATATTTTACTAAGTATATCTCCTTCATCAATGATTTTTAAAAACATTTTTTATATAAGTTTGTTTAGATACCATAGGGCTATTTTCCAACAAAAGTTATTAAAGATTTAAATTTTATCTTCATTGAGAAAAGTAGATGATAAATCGTGACATTTAATTTTGCAAGGAAGAAAAAGCAATTATCGAATATCGTAGTTTCATAACAGAAGAAAAAAGGATGATAAAAGGATCATCTAATGACTATTATGGCGACATAGGAACAACGTGATGTTAAGGTCATATTTTTTAGAAAAAGCTGTATGCCCTTGACTTAAGGGTAGGTTATATAAAATGAACATGAGTTTCCACAGACAAAAGGCTTCTCGACTTATTCTATATTGACTCACACGTGAACATCCTCCCACTATTCCTCATCATAGCACACGGTCTGGGTTTCGAAGGGTAGTAAACTATTAACCAAGTTGCATTCAGGGCACTGATTCTCTAGCAAAGTCATAATCCAAAAACACCATTATCTCCGTGTTCGTAGGCTTCGCCACGTGTACATAATGGATGGAGAAGATAAGTTAAAATTTTTCAGTTTTTTCTGCAAATTCTTCTCATTGTACCAACGTTCACAATATCGTTAGACTAGTAAAGAACAGAAAATTCAATAAAAATCTATTTCCATAATAATGTTTTAGTCACATTATACAGTTATCGATTTACTTTTCTTTGCTTTTTCTCAGAAACTTGGTTCATGCCTTCTATTAAATGCAGTGCGCTGTCAACTGCATGAGAAAGAAGTACATCACAAATAGCACACCACCTTTGAACTGACGATTTGAGGTGTATAAAACAAGATCAGTGGAAGCGATTTTTTGGAATTTATCATTTAAAACAATAACGGTTTTTTATTTCACCGGAAAGAAACGGACAATTGTTTATCCATTATACCATATTCAATTGTTGATTCTGTTGTTTTTGTTGTTAACAAATTCATAACATCATTAAACCATATTTTAAAAAAGTTTAAATTAAATGTTTGTTGTTGTTGTTTGAGTCTCATCTGGAAGTATACTAACTTTTTTAATTTACCACAGAATATTAATGACAGTACCGAATAAAAGTCTTGCAGTTGAATTTGTGGTAGTTGAAGATCAAAATACAAAAACTCTAAATTTGTTGAAAAAATGTTCAGTAAATCAATCATATGCCCGATATTTAATGGTGATTGATCATTAGCCGAAGAAAAGTCAATGCTTAAACTTTTCATCATTTTTGCTAACATTGAACATAGTTGTTCATCATTAATAAAGTGATTTATCATTGAGTATGGTACTCTTAATCGACCGATATTTGGTGCGTTTGTCAACACCTGCCGTAGAATTTCCAGTGGATACAGTGGTGGTGCAGAGAACGAGAGTGAGGTGATTTTAGAAAATGTGATTGTTTCGTTCAAATCAGATATTAATCTAAATAAAAAACTTAGAAAATGTAGAATACCCGACTTCAAAAAGTTCTCGCCGGAAACGAGGGAGAGAAAAGTAAAACTCATTTGCAGATCCATAAGCGACAGAGACAAGTCTTTTTACCCTCAGAATTATTCAATGTCCTCTATCTGCTGACATTTCAAAGCTCAGATACCTCAGACCTAAGATCCGGGTCTCCAGAGACCTCCGTGGGACTAGTTTTAATCTGGCAGCCCTTGAACCTATATGATTAGAACGAAATCGGATTGGTTTCATTGAATATGGCTGAAACCAAGCAAAAAGTTTGGATTTTCTTAAACGTCTCTAGAAGACCCACTAATTTTCTTTCTTGCTAGAAATTTTCTAGGAAACATCAAAAATCTTTGCAATTTTTCACGGTTCTGTAGCTCGCAAAATTCTGGATAAAATGAGTTGTCTGTCAACGCGCTGCGGCCATTTTCTAAAGAAGTTACTACGGTTCCCTGAAATACGAAAAACTGCACTGAACACAATTGCATCAAACAGAATTGTGAAATCTGTTGTTTCGTCAATTCATGTGTCCTCTTTACTTTGGGTACGAAAGAAGAGTTTTACTGTAACTCCTTTACCGTCTCTTAATCTGCATTAGAAAGGATCTTGAGAAAACATATTCTGAAAGCTCTAGAATTAAGTTATTCCAGTATAGGACTCTAAAATTGAAATTTCAAACTGAAATAAGGATAAATTTTCAAAATTCATTTTTCTATCGTGCAACAGATGACTCTGTCTCTCCGATGGTACTTACTTCTCAACGACCAAACAAGAGTAAAAGCAATTGAATTAGCATCTCACAAATAGGCGCTGAGAAACCTTGAAAAATTTTTTTATAGCATCGTTTTTGTTTTGGGTACTAAGACAATATTTCGAAACTTTTTCAACTAATTTCATATTCGGACTTGGATTCATGCACTCTCTCATATTCAAAAGAGTCGCCTCGATTTACTTAGGAAAAAGTGGGCGATCGAACTGTTCCTTAAATAAAACTTTCCAAAAGAATTAAGGCTTTTGAAAAAATGAGGTGGGTTTTGCGGAGATCTTTGAGAAGACCGTACTTTTTTGATTTTGAACTTTCTTCTCAAAGTCTCATATTCAGAAGGAGGACATTTTAGGCAGTTCTATACTGTAAGCGCCTCATCTTTATCTATAATGATAAAATACCATCCTCTCATGTTACTTTTCAATGATATATTTTCGCAATCTAATTGAAACAGTCAGACAACGGACGAACGACGAGGACATTCTTTCAAATTCGGAGAGAACATATACTAAACGAGTGTTTCGAATCATAGTTTAGTCTATATTTATCAGTCAGCTGAAATAAGCATCAGAGATAGTCAGGGATCGTAAAGCATTGTACTTGGCTATCTGAAGAAACGCAACATAGACAAATGGGAAAAACAAGTTCGAATCATACAGGTCCTTACTAGTCTCGCAGATGAGGGAGACCAAAAACATCATATTTCGAAAACATTTTGGCTTCATGGAAAATTTTTATTAGTTGTCAATGCCATATTCTTAATCTGAATGGTTATGTTTCAGGACCAATTCTAGTTGAACATTGAGACAGTTTTCAGAATTCAACGAACTGCTTCCAACTACGTTATATTTTTTTGTGAAAATGAGCTTACCTGCTGGTGTCCTCCATGTCGGTGCTGGTTAAATGTGAGCGGATTGTAATGGAGCTAACTTCCGGATATCGTCGTTCTGTGGGTGGTAGTGGTGGTCGATGACCATCATGGAATGTAACTTGCAAATTGGTAATATTTTTGTTTATCGTATCAAGATGATCAACTTTTGTTAATTGTGTTTGTAAACCATACAGTTCAATGTTGTGTTTTCCAACTTTTGAATATGAAACAGTGTAAAGTTCCAATGTTGCTGGATTTAAATATTGATTATGATCAATAACAAGGAACCATTTTTGTTCTAACCAAAAATCAGTTTCAAATAAGCGTAATACATCAGCAGCAGATTGTGTAATACTCCTATAGTTAAAAATGATGTGGATCGGTAAACTTATTTTTCTAACTCCAATATTTTTCAACTATCGTGATCAGCGTTCTACTCTGAACGAAAAACCTGTCAATGTTTGGAAGTCAAAAAAAAATCTGTTTGTCGACCTGCTTCTAGCTGCTGGTCAGGAGCTACAGCATGCGAACCGCAAGCACACATGCTTAATGACCACCTTAGAAAAATCTTTTGTCGCGTTTTGGTGTAGAAGATGTAAAAATTCTCTCAGGATATTCTTTTATCCGGACTTAGTCCCAAACTTACGGAGCTAAATCTCCAACTAAATTCCTCGTTTGGTGTCACCACCTCCCCCAGCCGGAATTCTATGAACTAATCTCGGTTGAATCTACACACGTTTCTGAGAAGCCAAATCGATGGTTAGACCAAGAAATCACCTTCTCTGACACTGAACCTCAGCTTAAGACATCGGTCCTAGACTTGAATATACCCAAAGATAATATATGACTGTACAACTTTAGCCGGTGTGCGCACACTATATTTTGTTCAACGAAGCGTTGTTTCATTTCGAATATGATATCGATTTCATTGACGATACCAATCGAATGCGAAAAATACAAAATATAGAAAAATGATGCCATTCCTTATGTTTTTTTGTATGGCTCACAGCCCATAACATTTTTGGAAGAACAGAAAACTTTCAGAATTTCATAGCGCAGCTTTTTAGAAAAGTTTTTCACAAAATATCCCATTGCGGGCATTAGCCTACGAGACGCTCATAGTCAATCTTTGAACATGGCAGAAATTGAAAAAAATATCTTTTTTCAAGTAATGGGCTCATATAAGTTTCTTCAGAATTGGCTGCTCTATTGTTCTATGTGCTTGAAAAAGGATGTCTGGGTTTTCGAGAAGAGAACTGTTATGCAAATCTTTCCATAAGTATAGTTATTATCATGCCTTCTATTGACTCTTTTGTTTAGCAAATGTTGTACTGTGTCGAAAATATTTCAAATATTCTTTCCGTTCAATATCTGAACATTCTTCATGTTCTATTTCTCTTCTAGTTCTCTCAGTCTCAGTTATTCCTCACTCTGGATTATTACCTAAAACTTTTAAAACTATATATAAGAGTTTGTTTTTTCAGTGTATGTATGTTAATTGTTATAAAGCTATTCAGATTTGAAATAAAGAGAGAAAAGTATTATCGGAATTATATTTGATCATAACAAGCAAGGAGGCTTTCCAGGGATTTGTGAGAGAATCCAGATTTGGATAATTTGATAATACTCTAGCACTTAGGGTACAAAAATGACAAAAATCCATGTCATTTAGTGAGAAAAAATGGATTTTGAACATTGAGTAACAAGTGGATTTATGGTTCTTTAGAGGCTAGGAGCTAAACTTTTCCAAAGCAAAAAGGTTAAAATGAATTTTTTCAAAACAGAAATTGCGTGACAATTTTGTTCAGAATTCAACACCGATTACAAAGCGTAAAATTTTCATTAAAGGACACTACGTTGCTGGATGAAAAACAAGAAAGAACTTTACCCGTTGTCCTCCATTTTGACATAAAATTGAAATTCTTTTAAATTTGTTAATGATTTAGAAATAAAATTTTCCCATGTTGTTGCTGACATATAATCTTCATCATTTGTACTGGTAGAAAATGTTAATCGTTCAAGTTTTGGAAATAATGTTAATAAAGAATGAAAAATATTCAATGGGAAATAATAAAACGTTATATGCAATCGTTTTAAACTTTTTAATTTTGAAATATTTTCAATTTGTGTTTGATAAAGCATAGTATCTCGATGATAACGAATATATACTTTTAAATATTTTAGTTTTTGACAATGGTTTAATACTAGAAGAAAACAAATTCGTAACTCATTGCTCACTGTTAACTCTTTCCCCAGTTATTCTTATATAATTCGTTTTTAAAAGCAGCACATTCCTGATGAACTAACTTAAATTCAACGATTCAGAACACTAAATTCAAAGACAACTAGGGATAACAACAGGAGTGATTTGTATAACTCTAACGTGAAGTAGTGAAGTTTTCGTATTTTCGGCATTTTGCTCCCCACCCTTCTATAAACTTAGATTTCTACAAGTGAATTTCTAAGAAAAGTGACTCAGGTAAGGTGTAAAAGATTACTGAATTGGGAAATTATAACAGCATGTTGTAAAACTCCGAAATACTGGTCTCTAAAATTTTCCTTCAAAAGTTATAGAAACCTTAAGAGTTGATCTCAAAGAACCAAGATCGTAAACGACTCCTTATTGTTTAATGAGTAGTCAGTTTCACCAGTTAGTATTCTCAATGAATTTATAGAAGAATTCTTTTTTATTTTCTTTGTGTAATGAGTTTGGACAGTGACATGAGTAACACACCATGTGTCAGATTTTTCTACAAGGCGCGATAGGATTTGTTGAAAAGAAATTCCTTCTTTGTGTATTGGCTCACGAGAGAAGTACCCCAACTGATAAGTCGCTTTTTCAACAAAACCGAGTGGACTATAGGTAGTCGACGATGCTGATTCCGAATATCACCATGAATGCTGCTGCTAGGCCTTCAAAGATCGGTTTTCTGAAAAACTAGTTTTCGAGAAACTCTAAAGAACAACCAAAAGCTCTCTTAATTAGGCGTAACTGTAGTCCATAAACTTCTGATTAAAACGAGGCATCTCCCAGCTCTACACGACCTTTCTTTGCAAAATTATAGAGTTTACAAGAAAGCCCTAAATTCATGTTTCGTTTTTCGTTCTGTAGCTCTGAGTTGACGATGAACATTTAGGGCTTTTCTTGTAAATTCTATAACTTTGCAAAGAAAGGTCGTGTAGAGCTGGGAGATGCCTCGTTTTAATCAGAAGGTTATGGACTACAGTTACGCCTCATTAAGAAAGCTTTTGGTAGTTCTTTAGAGTTTCTCGAAAACTAGTTTTTCAGAAAACCGATCTTTGAAGGCCTAGCAGCAGCATTCATGGTGATATTCGGAATCAGCATCGTCGACTACCTATAGTCCACTCGGTTTCGTTGAAAAAGCGATTTATCAGTTGGGGCACTTCCCTCATCAGTTACAATCATTTTAATCATAAGTTTCTACTATGGCCTATTTTCTTAGGTCGAAAAGTTCCCATTAAAAGTTTTGAGGCCCAAAAACCGAAGGAAAAGCTCCGTTTCCTCTTTTTTCCATTGATTTTTCAAATTTCTTTGCATTCACATTTTTGGTGTCAAAACTTTTAAGGAGTAGTTTTGGGACTTTTTATATATCATTGAACATCTATTTCTCAATTGTTTCACTTATTTTGAAAGTTTCTAAAAAAACGAATTTCATATTCGTAATCTTCATCGAATTTTTGAATTGAATGATGGATTTATCCAAAGTACAAAAAATGATTTACGTCTGAATGATTCGACCGGCCTGTCCAAATTTATAAAATGGTATCTCAACAAGATTTGTATGAGTATCATTCGACTGGAAATTCAATGGAGATTACGAGTATGACGTTGCTTTTGTATAAAAATCTAAGATAAGTGAGAAAATCGTGAAATAGAGGCCCAATGTGATGTAAAAATCCTAAAAACAGTTTCTGACGTTGGAACGGACTGCAGACTAGAAAATTATATGAAACTATCCTTATTATAGCTTGGAATGTCACGAGATACAACCATTTGAGGTTTCTGGTTCTTACTGAGCTACGCTTGACATACGTGCCCATGCTCGGACCTGAGTTAAATGGAGGAAAAAAATTATAAAATCATAAAAAATTCAATTTTATTTGTACAATTCTCATACATGTTTATTAAGCATACCTACTGGTAAAACTGATCAGTCCCGAAAAACATACATAGTCATTTCCAATTTTGACCCCTGAGGTCCCGACAACTTCTGAAGGATAAATGTAGCTAATATTTTCATATTTTATACAACTCCTCGAGCTCTATAACATACGCCTACAATCCGCCGATTTGGTAACATCTTATTCACACACACACTTGTGCCACTTTCACAAAAGCTCACTCTTCATCTCTTCTTTCAGAAGTATAAAGGAAGTTTCCTAAAAAACTGGGGATTCCTCTGAAAAGTTGAAATGACTCGGTCTTCTAAATTCTGATAACGAAACATATCATACCTTGAACGACATCATTCACATAACAACCATCAATGTTTAGATACTCAACATTATTCGTTATTTGAATATCATTAGGAAGAATAATAGGACTGTTAAGTGAAAATAAAATTAATGTTTTTAAGGATGATAATGAAAAAACATTTGTTGTTGATTGAAGGTTAGCCGAATAAATGTTTAGATAAGAAAGACTTCTGAATGATGGTAATTTTGAAAGAATTATATCTAAACTTTCGGTTGATATGTCTCTTACTGTTAATGATCGAAGATTTGATAAAATTTCAATTGAATTAAATTTTTTTATACGATCATATGTATCGGATAACTTCAGACTGAATATTCGTGATGAAAATGTGGAAAGTATTGATTGATGACAATAATAATCAAATATTCGTTTTGGGCAGCTTAGATCAACAAACATTTTCTGTACAAAAATAATTCCATTCAGACGATTGTTCAAGTTCCAAAATGAACGATGTAAATCTGCCGTTGATAATTGTTTAAATGTATATATTAATATTTCATTTGGTAACTGTTCTAAATAGGATTTCGATTGAGATGAGAGTATTTCTTCCTAGATGAAGAAAAAAAATGTCCAATTCACTCGTGTTATATAGACAATTTATGATCATTCATCGCTTTGATGAACAGGACCATCGTCGTCTAGCCACTTTATTTTCGAACTTTTATATAATTTCGTGTTTTCTAAAACATATATTGGAATCAGTCAATTCCAATCCCAGCTTTGTCTGAGTTTCTCAGGAACGGTGTCTAAGAATATAAATTTACTAGCCTTTGAAAACATTTCCCTTCATTGGCTGCGAGAAAGTCGAAAATCGTAAACATTAAACAAATAAATGTAAGGTTCTACAAATGATAAACCCTGTATTGCAGCGTAGACTCACATGGTGTCTGGAGGTAAAAACCGCACCTGCTATTCTTCGACACTAACCTCATATTCAAACAGGGATCGTCTAGCAACAGAAAACAGGTTGATTTTGAGCATTTTTTTCTATTCAGGCTCAAGCGTGATGCTCGTAACGTGAGATTGTGAGAGAGGAGTTTCAGAAAATGATTTGTTAGTGATCAGGAGAAGACTTTTATAATTTACCTGTGATCTGTTTTTCTTTCTACTACCATCAAAGTGTTCATTAGTGGAGACTTTCATCGACTGTTTTGTGTCTGGAAAATTGTCAAGATCATATAATGTCAAATGTTTCATTGAATCGCGCCGCGGCAAACGACTGGTTGCTATTGCCATCATCACTGTCTAAACTAAAAACAAAAGGACTGTATCATGTGTATTCATTCCTAGTTGTCAAACGCTTTTAAGGCGAAAAAACGTCGAAGTAACAGTATGAAATGAGAAATTAATAACCTCTTAACAAACAGAAAAGAAAATGTTTGTTATTGAATTCCAAATCAAATGTTTGAATGTTTTTTTTATGATGCACATTGCAATGAATACCTTTCCCCACTTTCATATTGACATAATGTGTCATAAAAGAAGAAAAAGATGAAAAAGAAGCATAACAGTAGTGTTGTTTTTATCGGGACAGGTTATTCACTCTAAACACCATGTGAGTCTACAGGATTTTTTCTTCCTTTGTAGAAAATTGCTGCTGCAGTTGCATTAGGTATGCCATCGTTTAGATCCACTTGTTTTGAAATAAGGATTTTGAAAAGGAAAAAAGATCTTGACTCTTTTCATTCTTGTTTTGAATCATATATGAGGTTATAGACCATATTTCGCTAATATGAAGCTTCCTTTATTTATTTATTTATTTTATTAGTAATTATGGTGATTAACCAAGCATAAATTCTTTCACTTAACGAATACTTTCTTTCGAATCTTTCACTTCTTTACTTAACGAGCTCAGAAAAAACTTGTACAACAACAATATGTTTTCGGTCATTTTACAATTTATAACCACTACCCTTTTTTCTACTAATGGGTTCTATCAGAGACAATATACAAGTGGATGATAAACTATTCACCATCAACTGGTTATTCTCCGATCAAAACCTGTTGGAATAACAATTCTAAAACTACGAATCCGCCATCCAAAAATGTACTAGCTGAGCAAAGTCAATTTTATTTTAGTCCATGATGTTAATAAAATGACATGGTAATGACAAAAGTTTAACAAAGAACTTGTCTAGGTCATCCCCAGGAAAAAAAATAGAAAACAAAAAAAGTTTAAACAATAGAAAAAAATGGCACAGTAAATAGAATATGTAAGGCGCCGCTAATTCAAAAGAATTGCAAGTTCTTATTTTTCACTTAAAACTATATCATTCGATGCAAAATTTCACGGTGATTACGAATATCACCTTTTGAATTGATTTTGATCCAGTTTTGGG